ACTGAATGATTCACTTAGTGGCCCCTGGCCCCACAGGTTTCCCGGTTCCAGGTGAAGATCAGTCCTTCAGTGGTGTGGAGGCAGGAATGGGAAGAAGGTTCAAAAACCCGGCGGCAGCCCCTCTGGGCTCACTGTGCTGGGGTCCACTTACCTGGTGGGGGCACAGCTTTGCCCTGTACTGCCAGTCTCTGAACATTCAGATCTCATTCTTTGTACTTTCTTGCCAGGAAGGCACCGCCCCTTTTTAATGGACCGCTTTCAGCAGGTGCTCCAAAGACCAGTGAGTGAGGCCTCTCATCGATGCCATCGCTCCTTCCAGAAGGAACTGGTCAAATGGGAACCCCTGAGCCCCACTGGGGCCGGAATCCCATTCCTGCCCATCTGTCTCACCTCAGTGCTGAGCCAGATTCTCGGGCCTCCCTTCCTGGGTCCTTCTCCTCTTCCTTCTTTCCATCTCCCACTTGTAGATTCCCCCGCCCCCAGCCTTCCTTCGCAGTCTGGTACCTATTGGTGTCTCTCAGGGCATTGAGCCTCTGAAATCCAATTAGGTGGAGAATTCCAGTTCCTTCCCACATTGTTTCTGGGTCTTACTCACAATCTCGGATGTGGCTGAGCGACCAGTTTGCTGTCCCTGACGATCAGGGAAGACTGTTCAGAATACATAACGGGCCTGACAGTAGGGGGATGGTGACCGATTTCACTCAGCCTTGGCCAAGTCATGGCCACTTACTACACCAGCTGAGTGGCTTTCACTCTTTATTGTTCATCAGAATCACCAAAAAGGCTTGTTCAAACATGGACTGTTGGGCATCACTACCACCTGTGATCACAGGCATCTGTGACCCTGTAGGTGGCAGGGTGGGGCAAGAATTTACATTTCTAGCAAATTATGGGTGGTACTGATGCTACGGATCCAGGGACCCACTGAGAACTGAAACCCAGAGTGGCTTCCATTCACCAGACAGAATTCATTTGGGGGAGTGAAGTTGATGCTACTAATTTTTAAGTTTCTGGTTGTTCAAGGCAGATGCCAGTGGGAAGAAACCCAGAGTCAAGAGTTACATTTATAGGTACCAATCCGTACGAATGGCCGTTGTTGATCTAGTGAGTCACCGATGCCCAAATCAACACAGAATGGCATGAATTGAGGAAAAGTATTATACGACTTTTAGGAAGGTACCTGCGTAGCCCCGTGAAGAAGTCGCACCTAGTCAGCTGGACACTGAGATGAGAACCCATTACCCGGGCAATGTGGGAGTTCTGGTTTTGCAAATTTCTGTACATCACTCATGCTCATAGCTCTGCACTGGGGCTGAGTTAGCGTGAAACAGACTTTGACTCAGGTTGAGAGATTCATGCAGCACCTTCTGGGAATGAGTAAATGGTGAGTCAGTTAAGTGTAGCTGTAACCTCAAGTGAAGCCAAGGCCAAAAAGAGAAATCTGCCGGCACTCGTGATCTTTGCTTGCTTCTCTGTGGATCACCGCGTCATTTGCATGTAACCCTACGACCTTCCAAAAAGGAGGATGGGGTACTTACATTGGGTATTGGGACAGGATTATGGGTTGTCAGGTCATAACACTAAGAATCCTATCAGGAGAGTGTCTAGGGAGGGAACTTGGGAAACTGAAGGACAGCCAGGGTGCTTGGACATCCAGATAAATGACTCTCGAGCAACAGCAGAGGTGAGGGCTCCTGACCTCTGGGGGCCATGGGCTGTGGAAAGATCAGACCTCAACGTCAAAGGCCTGTGCTCCAGGGATGGTAAGCAGGGCTCTGGATATGATGTGGCTAGGAAGTTCTCTAACTTAAGTGGGAGAACTTGGCTTAACTTCTTTGAGCCAATGGAAGCATGTCTAAAGCTTCAGAGCTGGCATTTTTTTTTTTTTTTTTGGAAAGCAAGAGGACAACCTGTTAAAGTTTGGTTCAAGGGAGTAGGAGAAATCCTTTACCTGGAACAGAAATACAGGAGCCACTTAGGAAGTCCAGGAGTCCTGCAAATGGAGAGAGTGGGGAAGGATAGGTCACAAAGGTGAAGGCTCTTGGTCTCATAACTAGAGGAAGATGGAGATAGAATTAGGGGTGAAACAGGGAGTGAACTTGAACTTGGGACTCTCTTAACAAAAGTGCAGCCAAATAGTGCTGTGGTTGTTATCTATATCCTGGAGCATTCTGAAGCCTGGCTTGTTTTGTGAAAACAAAGGCCACTCTATTTTGTAATCATTTCAAACATATGAAAAAGTTACAAGAGTTGGATGAGGAACTTCTCAGAAGGAGCCCTTTTGCCTAGCTGGATTCCATATTTTGCTCATTGGCTTTATTGTTTCTTATCCACCCACCTATCCAAACACACACACACACACACACACACACACACACACACACACATCTATACATAAAGTCTTCAAAAAACATTTGAGAGTTGATTGCAGATATCATACTCCTTTATCTCTATATCTCTAAATAAGTCAGTGTATTTTTTTCTGAGAACAAGGACATTCACTTATATAACCAAAGTACAATTATCAAAATCAGGAAACATAATAGTGATATACTATTAATATAATGTTATCTAAACCACCATTCCTACTCATATCTCATCCAATTGTCCAACCATGTCCTTTAGAGCTAATTTTCTTCCTGGTTCAGGACCCAGGATCACTCAGGGCCTCTAATTGTTTTATGTCTTTAGTGTCCTTTAAATTTTTTTTTTAAGGTTTATTTATTATTGAGAGACAGAGAGACACAGAGTGTGAGCAGGGGAGGGCAAGAGAGAGGGGGAGACACAGAATCTGAAGCAGGCTCCAGGTTCTGAGCTATCAGCCCAGAGCCTGACACAGGGGCTTGAACCCACAAACCACAAGATCATGACCTGAGCTAAAGTTGGATGCTTAAACCGACTGAGCCACCCAGGTGTTCCAATGTCTTTAGTGTTCTTTAATCTGAAGTAGTGTTCAGTCTTTTTCTTTCTTGACCTTGACAGTTACTTTGTACAATTTCTTCAACTGGGGTTGCCCTGATGCTTCCTCGTGATTGGATACAGGTATGTATTGCAGGCAGGAATTCCGGAGAACTGCTGTGTCCTTTTCAGCGCTTGTAATAGGAAGTATGGATGTCAGTTTGTCACGATATTGGGGAGGTTAACTTTGATCACATGGCTATATGGTGTCTCCATTTACTACTTTTCCAAAGGCTTCATTTTAATTTTTTTTTTTTTTTACATTTATTCATTTTTGAGAGAGAGACAGAACACAAGCAGGGGAGGGGCAGAGAGAGAGGGAGACACAGGCTGTGAAGCAGGCTCCAGGCTCCCAGCTATCAGCACAGAGCCTGACGCGGGGCTTGAACTCAGAAGCCGTGAGGATAATGACCTGAGCTGAAGTCGGATGCACAACCGGCTGAGCCATCCAGGCGCCCCCATTTTAATGGAGGCCTCATTTTAAATGTCACAAGCATAAACAATAAATGGGCGAACAAAATCTACTAAAGGCTACCTCGTTTCTATAGATGAACTCTTGGCCCTTCCATACTTAAACCTTTTCCAGTGTTAACAATGAGGACAGAGTTTGAACTGGAAGGAATCTTTAGATTTCATCTGGTTTTCTGTTTGCCAAGTATGGGATGCTATGTGCTGGCCATTTGTATTAGGCTACATTGTATCACACAGTAGCAAAGGTTCTCCTAGTCACTGATTTCTCCAATCTCCTGGGTCCCGGAAGTAGAAAGGCTCAGTTGGGTGCCTAGGCTGTCTTGAAAATTTCAAACGGTTGCTGATTTTTCCCTATTTTTTTTTTTTTATTTGTTTAAGAAAGGGGAGGCCTTTGGTTCTTGGTCTCTGGTAGGCAATAGTGTAGGCTTATTCAATAGCGTTTAAAAAATCACACGTGGGGCACCTGGATGGCTCATTCGGTTAAGAGTGGGAATCTTGGTTTCAGTTCAGGTCATGATCTCACCGGTTGGTGAGTTCCAGCCCCATGACGGGTTCTGCACTGACAGGGCAGAGCCTGTTTGGGATTCTCTGTCTCCCTCTCTCTGTTCCTCTCCCCCCTCAAAATAAGTAAATAAGTAAACATTTTAAATAAATAAATAAATAGTCACATTTATTGTTACAGTTACCTGCTGCTCTTCATTGACAATCGTGTACAAATTTTAATTTACAGGATTAACACCTCTCTTCTTCAGTTTACATTTAAAAACGTGAAGTAAAATAAGCGAGTCGATTTAGAGAAATTGTAAGATCTTACAGAAAACTTTTAGGGGGGGGGGGGTCATGGGAGGGATAGGGGAAATTCTGACTTAGAAACTTCGGCCAAATTCCTTAAAGGAAATGGGCAGTGTGGCTTGCTGACCCTTCCCGGCCAGTTTTCCTAATGGCAACTCAAGTTGGCAGGCAAAGGACAGACGCTGGCAAGAAATAGGACAGGCCACCAGAAGGTCCGGATGGCCTTAACCCCAGGGTTTAGGGCACACCGGGCTCCAGGTTACAGCCTCTCATCTCGCTTCCGCCGCTACCTAGCTGGGATCGGCTGTACTTTCTTTGAATCTCAGTCGTCTCATCCGTGACATGGGGCGGTAAGAAACGGTGCACAGCCCCTCCCTCGGTTGGTCTCTATCCCTATAGGTGCAGAAGGTCCCTGGCGCAGCGTCAGGAAACGTAGCCTCTTCAGTGGTGCTCCTAATTCTTTTGTGGGGACCGGGCCTTTGGAGGGGCCTGGAACGGTGACCCGGAGGGGTGTTTTCTTTCATCCCTCCTCCTGGGAAACCTAATGGGCCACAGTGCACGCGGCCCGCACCTCGCCCTGCTGGGCCGCGCCTCTCCCCTTGTGAGGTCACCCCGACTGAGGACGCGAGGGCACCCCGTCTCTGTCCAGCCCGGGCGCCGAGGGTGCAGATTCAGACGGGAGCAACGCCGCGATCGCTGTCGTCGGCCACGCGCCCTGGAGCCCAGGTCCGCCCCCCGGAACGCGCGGGCAGGTGCGGGCGCGCCCCCTGGTGGCCCCTCGCGGGGCCGCGGGCCCCGGTCCAGCCTGCGCGCCCAGCTCCTCGCGCTGGAAGCCCGCGCATGCGCGCAGTTCGCCCCGCCGCTGTTTGGCCGTTTCCATGGCTACGAAGAGCCTTGACGGGGGAGTCTGGGAAGGAGAAAATGAAACTCAAGAGCCTCCTGCTCCGGTATTACCCTCCAGGTATGGCCGGGCCCCTTCCGTCCTCGCGTGGGGTCCTTGGCTCTGGGAGGGTCTGGGGCGGAGGAGGCTGCTGGGACCCCAGGGGCCGGGGTGGGGGGGGGCGTCCCCTATACGGTGATCCACGTGGGGGACAAGAAACAGGGCACTACCCAACCTAACCCACCACTCCTTCGTTGCTGGGCTCTGTTCCTGGACACTTTCAAAATGATTCTTTTAGGAAACCTCTAAACGTGGAAGTTACAATGCTTTTCTGGCTAGTTAGGAATGTGGCAGGTGGGGAGGGAGAAGGCCCAAGATACTGGTTTCCGGAGGGGAAGACACCCAACAAGGACGGCACTTTTCATTTTAAACGTCCCAGGATGATCACGTCAAGGTATGTTGGATATGAAAAGAATGCATATTCAACAGAGCATATTACGTGGGTGACCGCATTCCAGACCACGCATAGCAGTTGATCCGTGCATTTATTGAGGGCCTGCCAACGCGCACTCTGTGCCTTGGGGCTTGAAGGTCACAGCCCTTGACGCCCATGAGTTAAGGAATTTGGAAAGAAGTCCACAGGACGCTACAGTTTTAGAAAGGGATAAACTTGCCTGGTTCTCTTGTTTCATAGGTGAGGACATGGGCATCTTTGAAGAATTAAGTGAAGCCCACTGGTCACCGGCTCCTTAGGTACAGACATAGGGGAAGAACTCTTGGTTCCGGGTCAGAATTCCTGTAGAAAATAAGAAGAATATAGAGTAAAAAGTCCGCAAAACTTGCTACAAAGCAAGTAGGTGACCAAATATCCTGGCCCGATGAGACCTGAATGACTTAACTTTCACCCCTTTGCTGCGGAATGGAGGTTAACATGATGAGCTCTGGGGTCATAATAACTGGCTGTCACCATATACAAATTTTGTAACGCGGGCGATTTGTTTCGAGCCATCAAGCCATTTTGGTCACCGAGTCACATGGTGGTAAGAACACTTCTCCACTGGTCTCCTGACCCTTTGCAGGTGCTCTCCCATTTGTCTCTTTCCCTTCCCAGCAAACCTCCTTGGAGGAATGTTTTCCTCATTTCTCTTCTCCCGTCTGTCTGGGACTCACTCCTATCATGTTTTCACCTTCACCGCTCCATTGCAACTGTGCTTTTCAAGATCTTCAGTGGCCTCTAACATCACTAAACGCTCTGGCCACCTCTCAGTCCTACCTTTCCTGACCTGAGAGCAACATTTGATGAATTTGGCCACTCTGTCCATGTCCATTGGCTTCCGCACCTACTTTTTTCCCTCCTGCTTCATTGTCATTTCTTCTTTGTCCATCATGTTGGCTTCTCTTCCTTCTGACTTTGATGTTGGAGTGTCCCAGAGCCCTGTCCTTGGACTTTTCCGTCTATACTGGGTGATCTCATCCATTCTCAAGGTTTAAAAACCTGAGTAGTCTTGAGTAACTCACAGCCTGCCTGGTTATTCCTTTGGATATGCAATGTGCATGTCATTGAGGCATCCTATGGTCTGTCTCCTATCAGTCAATGGCAGTTTCCCTCCTCCACTTACTCAGGCCACAACCTTGGACTCATTCTTTTCTCCCATCTTGCACACCCCACGTTTAGGCCAGTAATAAATCCTACCAGTTCACCTTTATTTTTTTGTTTATTTAAAATTTTTTAATGTTCATTCATTTTTGAGAGACAGAAAGAGACAGAATGTGAGCAGGGGAGGGGCAGAGAGAGAGCGGGAGACACAGAATCCGAAGCAGTCTCCAGGCCCAAGCTGTCGGCACAGAGCCCAACGCGGGGCTCCAACCCATGAACCGTGAGATCCTGACCTGAGCTGAAGTCAGACGCTTAACCGACTGAGCCACCCAGGACCCCCTTACCAGTTCACCTTTAAAATATATACAGCTATATATACAATGGAGTATTACTTGGCAGTCAAAAAGAATGAAATCTTGCCATTTGCAACTACATGGATGGAACTAGAGGGTATTACGCTGAGCGAAATTAGAGAAAGACACATATGGTATGATTTCATTCATCTGGGAACTTCAAGATACAAAACAGACGAACCAAAAGGGAAGCAAAAACAATATAAAAACAGGGAGGGGGACAAAACATAAGAGACTCTTAAATATGGAGAACAAACAGAAAGTTACTGGAGGAGTTGTGGGGGGGGGGATCGGTAAATGGGTAAGGGGCATTAAGGAATCTACTCCTGAAATCACTGTGGCACTACAGGCCATCTAACTGGGATGTAAATTAAAAAATAAATAATAAAGTAAAAGAAAAGAAAAGAAAATATACACAACATTCATGGTAGCAATGCCTACCATGTTTCCTGTTGTTAGTGAGTTCACCCTTGCCCCACTCCTGTTTATTTTCAACACAACAGCAGGATGACTGGAGAACCTAAATCTGATCATGTCACTCTTAGGCTTGAGTCCTCCAATGGCCTTTCATTTCACTTAACGTAAAAAGGCCATGGTCTTCAAGGTCATAATCTCCAAGGCCCTACAGGCCCTTCCCTACCTTTGCCTTGGACTCCACCCTCCTTCCCCTCCAGCAAAGCTGTTCTTCCCAGTGTTCCTTGGCTGAGCTGGGCATGACCCCCACTCAGGGTCCCTGCACTTCCTCCTCTTTTGGCCTGGAATCATCTTCCCTGGATATCTACATCATCAACACTCTCATGGTTTGTGTGTGTGTGTGTGTGTGTGTGTGTGTGTGTGTGTGTGTGTTTAATAGCTCTGTCCTTAAAAGCAAGTACAGTGAGAAAAGTGAAAGTGAAGCTTCCCTTCTAGAATTTCTAGAATTGCCAGCTTCTCCTCAAGATATTTCATAGCCTCCCCGTCTGCTTTGTTTTTTCTTAGCATGATCTTAGCTCAATATACCATGATTTTAATTTACTTATTTCCCTCGATCACCCCTGCTACAATAAAAGCTTCATGAGGTATGGGACTCTGTTTTGTTTACAACTGTATCTCTAGCACCTAGAGGAGACAGAGACTGGGGAATGAATAGTCATGCAACATAGTTGTTGAGTAAATGAGTTTAATGGGGTGATATGTATTGAGTAGAAAACCTGGAGCTCCTGAAATGTGAATAAGTCAGAGAGATGATCTGTAGGGTTCGCTCCGGCTCTGAAAGTCCAGGTTCCCAGCAATGCCACATTCCAGGAAGGCTGTGGTCTCCCACTGGCAACTATTGCCTTAATGATTATCTTACAATGAAGTCATATCACTTAGCAGGTTAGACACTGAATTTCTGAATTCCAGTCTTTGGTGAGCCATACATTATATGCAAGTTTCCAAGGTACTTCTGAATAGCAGGTGGGTGTTGGAATAACATTATCAAGTGGGAAAAAAATCGCTCACCGCTGAATCATTCCCATGTTACCTTTATCCCTTCTACAGTTTTGTTTCATCGCTTAATCCCCCGATTTCCATCCTCCTACTTCTTTTGAGTATCGTATAGGTCAGGAGCATTCCATTGTTGGCATCCATGGAATGATCTCTCTTCCTCCTAAAAGTCCATAGCAGTAATACGGCTAATCAAACATGGGCATTCTCTTTTTATCTTATTCATTAATTCATAAGCTCTTTGCTTTGTGAAGAGTGGGTGTCCCATACGTGCTTTTCACCTGACTCAGGCATCACAGCCATTGTCTTTTACTTCTTGTGTGTAGGCCTCTGGTGTTTTGGGTCAGGAGAAGGAACTAAATAAACATTAATAAAACTAGTTAAGGGGCGCCTGGGTGGCTAAGTCGGTTAAGCGTCCAACTTTGGCTCAGGTCATGATCTTGTGGTTTGTTGGTTTGAGCCCCACGTGGGGCTCTGTGCTGCCAGCTCAGAGCCTGGAGCCTGCTTCAGATTCTGTGTCTCCCTCTCTCTCTCTCTCTGACTCTCCCCAGCTCGCACTCTCTCTCTCTGCCTCTCAAAAATAAATAAAAGATGTTAAAAAAAAAGCCTAGTTAATATTCTGGGCACTTTAAAGGTCTTTGTTGGTTGAATGTGATCTGAGTAAGGAATGCTCACATCTTTTAAGGCTTAGCCTTTGAGAACATTGCAGAATTTGGGGGGTAGCAGCTTCTTCGATGTTTTGGGAATCATGCCTATTACACGAAAATGCACAACCAGGGGCAGATCAAGAAGACTAAGGTACTGTGGGAAACAGTCACTGAAGAACCACATGTACTCCTGGAGCATCTTTGTCTGTGTTCTGCTTGACCTCTTCACTGTGCACCACCCAGCCTCTGGCTCATACGGGAACTCAGTGGTCATGGGAGGGGTGAGCATTTGACCTTGGTGTTTTGTCTCAGTGAAATAGTCCAATGCTCAGGTTTCAGATGTTGCCCTTTGTTTTTTAGATCCGCTTGTATAGTAACCAACTAATTTTTAGTAGTCAACTTAAAGACCTAACCTTTTTTTATTTTATAAGAAACAAGATAGTTGTGAATAAAGAACACAGAATTTTGTGCATTTGCTGCAATTTTTTAGTGCATTCCCTTAGGATATAGATTATGCTGTGTGGGCTGTCAAGTGCTAATTTTTTTTTTTTTAACGTTTATTTACTTTTGAGAAAGAGAGAGAGTGCGTGCCTCTCTTTCCCCAACAGTGCACATGAGCAGGGGAGGGGCAGAGAGAGAGGGCGACAGAGAAGCCCAAGCAGGTCCTGCACTGTCAGAGCAGATCCCAATGTGGGGCTCAAACTCACGAACCTTGAGTTCGTGAGCTGAGCTGAAGGCATTAAATTGATAGCAATTTGGTAGGTTTTATAGTTCTGTATCTTATTTGACTTCTCAAATAACCTTTCAGGGATTTTGATCTTCAGGACCTGATGTTCTACTAATGTTAATCTCTGTCATTTTTCTTCCTTTTTCTCCATGTTCTAATTTTTCTCCTACTTTTTTCTTTCCTTTTCCTCCGACTTTTTTTTTTTTAATTACAGAAGTAGTATTTACTTTTAACAAAATTCTGAAAAATACATGAAAGGTTAGCTGAGATCATGCTCAACTCACTGAAGG